TCTGAACAGGTAATATTATTTGGCTTTCACAACTAAAGACTTTCAGCAATGCTGAGAAACTTGTCCTGTGCAACATACTCTGTTTTCCAATTTTATGGGGAGAAAACGTCTTCACGAAATGGTGAGGTGTCAGAAAAAGTGCCTCCTGGTAGAATGGGATGCTTTTTCTTGGGTTGACCTAAATCATGCTGACATTTCTAGGTTAGTCTTATGAAAGGAGAAGTTGACTTCTGACAGCTGACCACCAAATATGACTATTGTTGTGGTTCCTTCTTGTCACTCCCCTCTGGAACTATGGAATGGAAATGGAGAGAGCTTTACGTGCTTCTGTGTATACGTGCAGTTTATTTAACCTGTACACTTTGTCAAGCTCCATAAAAAAGACTGAATGGAAATTGTACATGGTATTCACAAAGGAAAGGACATGCAGTGCCCTAGGTTTGATCTTTCACCCATGGTCAACACAAATCAGCCTGATAGATATAAATGAATAAAATAACAAAATACAATCTTAAAAACTACTATGGGGGTGTAATGAATCCCTTACTTTAACTAGCTGGCAAAAGACTAAGAGAGTGGGCCTGGCAAAGCCACAGCATCCATTTTAAAGAAGGGAGACAGGGAGATGCCATCTTAGATTAGGTTTGCCTTAAGGGGGCATGTACTAGTCTTGGAGGGAAAGTTAGAAGGCTAGGATTGGTTAGGAAGATGGGGGCGGAGCCTAAGTGATCGGAAGGAAAAAGGTTACTTTTAAACTGAGGCTTGAGTTCCCAGTTTGCCAGTTTGGGAGTTGAAGCTTGGAAAGGGTAGAGCAAAGACGTTGGGTGTTAGTGAGAGTAGTTTGGGGGTTTTGAAGAAGATCTTTGGGTCAGTCTTTTGTTTAGTATTCAGAGTAGCTATGGGGAAATATAGCTAGAATGCTGTGTGGAGCAGAACCCCGTTAATGGTCTGTTCTTTTCCTAAGGAAGGCTAGTTCAGGTTTTTGGCTAAATTCCTAAGGGGGATTCTTGGGAGTTACTTTCAGATATTCATTTCCTGAAGTAATTTTCTGTGTTGAAACTTTAAGACTTGTAACCCAGAAGTTTTAAGATCTTTTCTCAAACATAACCACAAGCTTTGTATGCCAGTACTTTACTGAAACCATTAAGCTTTTGTACCTGAATATTTCAAGCCTGTTCAGTAAACGTTCTTGTTATTTTTATCAACTTATACCAGCCTCAGTGTGAATACCTTTGTGGTCAAAGCATTACTCAAGTCAGTTTTTAACAACCTCTAAGAAAACTATAGGTTACTGAACAACCTCTCAATAAAACTTCAGCCTGTTTATTAGTAATATGGTGGCAGTGGAAATCTTTTAAAAAACCATTTTAAGTCTCTCAGTTCCAGTGGTTCCCAGTTCCTAATTTTAAAATATTCAGTTGGTTCAACAACTATTCTCCCTCTATATTTTGGTGAGCTAGCCTGTAGTGGTGGTGTCATCTTTATATTTTTATGAAGCAGCGAGTGGTTGGGATTTATTTCATATATACCTTTCCCTGTCAAAGAATTTAATTAAAAAATATCTCGCAAATGCTCGGCTGCTGCATATCGTTATAGGGGGCTGGCCCAACTATTTCACAGAGGGAGATGTCCACCTCAACTCATAGTCTTGAGAGTCATGAAAAAGGAACAAATTGTTATGAGATTTGTTGTTGTTGTTGTTGTTGTTGTGTTTAAACTAGGAAAGCAGAGAGGTGCTTAAAAGATTTTCTGTCTCATGTACCAAAATAACTTCCTTTAGACCAGTGATTCCCAACCTTTTTTAAACCAGGGCCCACTTTGATCAGGGACCACTTGACTGGGGACCACTTTGAAAAGGGATCACTCTCCAGCATTAGTACCAAAAGGGGCAGGACTGGTCAGCTCTGTGGAAAGGAGCCGAAATAAATCAAATAAAATAAAAAAGGAAGGAGGTTTGCAGACCTGATTTTTGTTCTCATGGCCCACTTCTGGGCCACATCCCACAGGTTGGGAACCACTGCTTCAGACACTATCACACTCAGGTTTTGTTTAATTTATTTTGTAAAGGTATGATTTGTTGCTGTGCCATAGAAGGTAGCACAATATCTTAGTTTTGCCACCTGATTTGCAATATATTTATAAGAGTAATGTGAGTGCTAGCCTTTTCCTGATTTGTTCTTTAAAAAAATCAGATGTTGCTTTTGAGCTTTTGTAATTCTTCAGGATTTTTAAAATGTGATAAATATGAGTTTATTTTTTAAATCTTTTGAAATACTGATTGATTCATTGAAAGGAGTAATGGGTAAGCAGGTAAACACTTTGGGGTACTGAATTCCATCAGGCCCAACAGAATATGATGTATGGCTGCTTGGGCTGACATCAGTTCTTCCCCCACTGGAAACTTCCCTCCCTCCATGTTAATTAACTGCAACATTTTCTTAATAATTGCTATGCAGATTTACTGCTTTTGTTGAGCTGTTTCTTGTTCCAGTTTTCTAATTTGAATTGTTCATGGTTTGCATTTGGAACCTCTCTTTAATTTTGCTCTTGTTTGAGTATTCTGCCCCTTTGTAGCTATACGACTGTTAATAAACAAGTTATGCATGAAGGATTTTTGTAATCTCCAGGGGAAAATGTGACTGATTAAAGGTGAATTAACCGCAGTATAAGGAGACAGAGTCATGTGATGAGCCAGCTGAAGACAGGAAAGAATGACATCCCAAAACATTTAGTGCTGCAGTTGATCTTTGACAATAAAATTATATGTCCTTCTGGTACTTTGCCATGGAAGTATTCGTGCTAAGGAAAGCATTCAGTGCTTGGTTTAGATCTTATGTTGTTCCTGTATACTAAGGAGGTAGAAGACAAAATGAGAAGTGTTTATGGCACAGTTAAACATTTTAGAGGTATTATTATGTTTATTATTATGTTTATTTATACCTCACTTTTTCACAAAGGAGACTCAAAGCAATCACTAGCCGTGTTGTCTGGGAAATTCTAAAATTTACTGAATCTCCAACACTCATCATAGAAAATAAATTTGAATTGAGGGTCTGACACTATGTTCTTGTCTACATCAGCGAACTGAAGTAGACCAGAAGTCAAACCTAGATGTCCAGACATTGTCCAAGGAGTTCTTGTCCTTAATAAAGGCTAAACCAGGCAGAGCTGGTTTAGCTCCATGTTAATCAAAATCAGTTAATATTCTCCTGTTTCACTTAAACTCTTTGGGCTGAGTTGGACAGGAGATTAATTCCAAAGCCAACCAGCCTGCTGTCCACACAGGCTGCCACCACCATCCACACTGGTTGCCACCACCGAAGAATGGACCAAGGCTATGTCATCCCCTCTTTCTCCTTGGTTGTTTAAGCATCTTTGTTGATGTCAGCAGAGGTGTTCAGCAATGGCCAGTACCTCCAATCAATTTCCTTAGTGATGAGAGCAGCAGGATAGACAAGGGTGATTGTTCAGCCAGGCCAAATCGGTTTCGACTTGTATGGACTGGATGGGTGCAGGTCGGGGGTGAACTATCTAAATAGATTTTATTGTGTAGATGTAGATTATTCCCATGTCAGAGTGTGTTGTCCTTTCATTTGGAGGCAATATGTAAACCTAGGGTGACTAACTTTTGACCATAATTTAAGGGGGTTTCGTGACAGCACTACCTGGAAGCATGGGGGAAGGGGAAACCCCTTTAGGCCACCCCCCTTTCCACACTACAGTTACACAGGGCTTGGGCTGGGCCAGCAAATGATAGGTCTTGACCACCTTTGCCCTTGCAATTGCTGTAACAAGAAAAGGAAAGGGATCCTACTGCTCCCATCTCTCCTGGGGCCCCCCTGCCTGTTGCTCTGTCAGCTCTGGCAGCTTCTTGTGGGCACCTTGAGGAGGGCCAGGTCAGCAGTAATGGGGGCAGAGTGGAGAGCAAGGAAGTGCACCTCCTGCAAGCCGGTCTGTAGCCTTACCATCCAAGCTTGGACACAACTGAACTAAAATAGCAGCCCTGGAGGTGTGAGAGGGGTGAACCTAAGGCCTAGCCAACCCGGCTTGCCACGGCGCATCCAGGTGTGCCAAGAGACCAGCATGCTCTCTAGAGGTCCTGTGGGGTCACACTGCCTGTTAGCTGAAAAAGCAAGAGCATGCCTGATCACTTGAATTTTAGAAATATGTAGGAGAAATATAAAATAAACACAGGAGCTGGAAGGATCCAAAAAATAAATACAGGAGTTCCTGAGAAAGTTGGTTAATCAACCTAAACCCGTAAAACCACCATTATTGAGCAAGGGAGTAGAAAGTCCTCAGATTACTATTTCCATTTTTGGGTTTATGAAGAAATCAAGAGAAAAAGAGCCTCCCTTAACTGAACTCAAGTATGCATGCATCGTTCAATGCGATGCATGCATACTTGGGATCAATTCCCTCTGAACTCTAGGGCTAAATGAAATTCAGTTGCACTTTTCAAATGATATTTGTAACATGTGCAGAAAACATGTGCTAGCAGCTGTGGGAGGTCCTGGTTTAGATCTGTCCTGAGTATGGATAAATGATATTCAAGTTTTAAATCAGGAAGCAGTGTGCGCCATGGAGCTCTAATGAGAAATATGGTAAGGCCGAGGCAAGTGATAATCATGTACATGGGAACTAAGGTGGGGGAAGCAGACTTGCTTCATGGTACACACAAGTAAAATGTTGGGGTTGTCACACCATTCTCTGAACAGTTCTGCCTGAGAGCATTCAATTGTGTTTGATTTCCTATTTAAAATTGTATGCGAAATAACAACTGAAAAGACACATCATCCTGTATCCTACATAAATGTATTCTCCATTAGGAACAATTAAAACTAGAGAGTTCCAAATTGTAGTTCTTTCATTTTCGTACTTTTAAGGAGCGATTGCAGATTGGAATGAAATTATGTATGTTTCTGGGATAAAATTATGTATATACAATGAAAAAGGTTGCTCAGACTTTGAAACACTTGGTTTTTCTCTTTTATCCATAGGTAATGCAAGTGGTGAAGGAGCAAATAATGAGAGCACTAACCACGAAGCCTAGTTCTTTGGATCAGTTCAAAAGTAAACTTCAAAATCTAAGCTACGCAGAAATACTGAAAATTCGCCAGTCTGAGAGGATGAATCAGGAAGATTTCCAGTCTCGTCCAATTTTGTAGGTGTTCTGACAATGTCTTCTTTTGCTTCTCTTCTTCCTTGAAAGGCCTGGCAAATGCAAAGGCCATTTGTAAAAGCCCTCAGGAATAACCCTGGGGAAACAAAGCTGTTGAGGGCTGGAGTATGGAGGAGTCAAATCTACCGCAATATATTTATTCTGCACACATTAAAATTGTCTCTTTTTGTGCACCTAAAGTAAATTCTTCTCATCCCTGGAGGGCTTTGAACAGCGTATTTGCAAGAAACAAAGCTTTGACATTTCCCCCTTTGTCTGTATCCCCTTTCCACCAATAGATTTTCCTGGCTTGCCCACTTGCAGAAAACTAAATGTCACCATTAGTGAATTAGACAAAATGAAGCCTAGATCAGAGACATGAGAGCATCAACATTCTATAAAACGGAGTGAATTGCTGTGCCATCTCTACAGTAAAATGCAGAACAAAACCTTATCTACTAAATAATATTTCTCATTTGATTTAGTGATAGATGTTTGAGACTTCCTTTCACAGCAGTTTGCATGGTTCACTCTAGAGGCAGGTTGTCAGTACCTCTCTATATCTCTCTCAAGCCCAATCTTTATATTGATCAGAGTGCCAGGACCACTGCAGCACTCCCAAATCTTGTCCCTTATACAGCCACTTTTATTTTATTTACAGTTAGGAATTTTAATAGTAAATTAATGGATTCAGTCACCCAGTGCACCCCAGCAATGGAACCCAAAGTCACATTTATAAACTGTGTGTATATTTTCTGCCTTGGAGGCTACATACTGAAACCATTTTGAAAGTCCCAGGACTTTGTCATGTAATTTCAGTAAGTACCATAAAACATTATTCTTCAAAGGTAAAATTGTTATTTTTATAATACAAATTATACTAACGACTTTCCTCAGATGTTTTGGACAGTATTTTTTAAAAAGAATGCATGTTAGTGTGTTCAGAATATGAATTGGAGACGCATCCACAAAGAAGAGTGCACCTGCCAGATTGCTGTCAGTAGTTGTAGCACATCACTCCAGAATCCCCCATCGGTATGGCTGGAGTAGTCTAAAGAAAGGAACATTTTTCTAGGTTCTGATTTCTTGTATCAATAGTGTTGACTGGAGATGAAAAGAAAACAAGGTCAAAAGTTTGAGTTGGTTTATTGACAGGAGAATATCAGTATGTTTTGAACATAAGTGCTCTTTCTGAGAGAAAACCAATCGATATAGAAGTCAATGATAACTCCAAAATAAATGTGTGTGGTTTGGAGGAGGAGGGTGTTCTCTCTCTTGACAGAATACTTCAACTGTTTCAATACTATGCTTTGGATTTGCTGAGTATAAAGGCAACTGGTTCCTGAATGTCAAAACAGCTGCATTCTCATTGTTGTCATTTTAGGTGTGTAGCGCCACTTTATTTCCTGGTTCCAGTGTTGCTAAGAAAATGTCATGTACAGTCATCCATGACTGTATATGTAAATGGGTTCAAAAATCAACTCCCGAATAGCATAGCCAGTTGGAGGTAAAGGGTTAGGGAAGTCCAACTCATCAAAAAGGCACAACACTGAGGAAGAATGAACTAGTGTGTGTACTAGTGTGTGTACCAATAGCTCTATCCCAGTTGCTGGGCACGTAAGATGACCTCCTCCATCTTCAATGAAGCAGTGTTTAAGTCAATGATTTGCTACCACAAGTGCAACACAATACAGAAAGCAGTTCAAAGATCAATTACTCATACCACATCTTTGATATTTAATTTTAGATCTGGTTGTTTTGGACTTCAACTCCCAGAAATCCAACCCAGCTTGTTAGGAATTGTGGGAGCTGAAGTCCAAAATTCCTGGAGGACGAAAGGTTGGTAGCCACTGCTTTAGATGAAGAAGAAGAGTATATGGTATCTGATGGGGATGTATCAAATATGCACACATTTTCCTATCCTTGATGAAAAAACAGTGTCAGCACCCTGGGATATCTTGTTGTCAAACATCTAAATATTTTACTCATTTGCAGAATATTTTTGCAATACAATTTTCTGTGCAAAAATAAAAGCCATGTGCACAAAAGGGATTTTTTTGTGTGTAGCAAATAATGTCTTTCCATCTGTTTTGCTCCCAAAAAGTTTGTAGAGAAACATTTTTTTTCACAGAAAAGTCTGATGTGCAACAAAAGACGTTGGGAAATCTGCAGAAACTCTCATAACCTCCAAACCAGGCAGGAATAAACTTTCAGCTTATAGTAGTACATAATATGTTTGTTAGCTACTAGTTGAATGAGAGGGGCATCTGCTTTCTCACTTTGCTCTTGCAAATCATTAGTAGCATCCCAGAAAACTAAACTGCAGCATTCGAATTTTATCTAGTACTCGAAGCCTGCCTCAAAAGAAGCTGCATGTACTATATAAGTTTTTCTTGTCTTCTGTGGAAAATCGTCATATGTGTTCAAATTTGTGATTGTTCACTTGTTTGTTTCCTGTGTCTTCCTCTGGATCCTCCAGGGAGCTAAAAGAGAAGATCCAGCCTGAAATTTTAGAGTTGATTAAGCAGCAGCGTCTAAATCGTCTTGTTGAAGGAACTTGCTTTAGAAAACTCAACAGTCGACGGAGACAAGGTACTAAGTAGAAATGTTTTTCCCTTCCTGTTTACACTCACCTTCACTTTTCATTGGCTGAAAAGAATAAACACTTTGTTGCATCATTCGGGCATTTTCAGAACTTACTAGATGAGTGCTTTTTAAGTTTCTAAAGTGTCGGTCCTGTGTGTTGTAAATGCAGCATAAAAGAAAGGTAGACAAATTTTTCACTGATGCCTAGTCTAGATACTATGGCAAACGTTTTGTTGAAAACAGACGTTCCTTGATGTGTTGCTTCCTCTGCAATTGGCAGCCAATGAACTGGAGTTTGTGACTTGCCAAGCTGCATTGTGATGAAATCACGTTATGTGACATTGATCTCAGGAAGAAGCTATTTTTTTTCAAGATGACAGTGTATTTATAGAGACAGTGATCAAAAAATTATAATCAATGGTATACTTTCTTTAAAAGTTTCAGATTATTCCGTTTACATCAGAATGGATCAGAATTGGTTTTGCTCACACTTACTCTGAAAGTGTGATATGAAACTTAGCCATTTGTATGGCGGCTATCCATTTTCCATTTCTAAAAAGAATTTCTAGCCTTCACTATTTCAGATAGTCTTGAGAGAGGGAAATATTATTATTTCATTGTTTTCCATGAGTTTGAAGACTCTAGGAAAGTAGTTCTGCATCTTGGCCCTCTTTTTCAGTTCCCAGAAGCCTTAGCCCCATCACTATTGGGCAGGAATTCTGGACATTTACATCCTAAATGTCCGGTGGTTTGAAAGTTATTTTATGGAATATGGTGGTAAAAAGCAAATTTGGTTATTTTTAGACTGTGTGCTTTGCAGGGATTTATCTTGGATTTAGAGTAGTTATTAAGCCGGATTTTAAAAAGTGTCTATTTTCCATTCCTCTCTAATTTTAGTTTCTCCCTGCATGCATTTAATCCAACAATCCCCATTTTCTGCTTATCTTGAACTAGCGAGATCTGCCGTTCAGTCTTCCCTAAATAAAAGCATGCCTATATCTGCACATCTGCTGTCTTGATAAGTGTTTCATCTTCTGGTAATCACATGAAAGCTGTTTCACATGAAGGGTTCACATAGCTATTTTTTCAGGTTTTTACTTTTTCAAGGGTTGAGGAAGTTTGAGAAAATATGGAGTGAATTAGAAAAGAATATCTCAGATCAACATGTGAAATCGCTTGTTACCATAACCAGAGGATAATAAGAAAACTAAAATAACATCCACTTTATATAAAATGAGGTAAAGCAGTGTCAGATTTATGGCAGTTTTATTAGAACCAAAAGGAAACACCCAGTATATCAAGGAGTCTTTCCCACTTATAGTACTGTAAGTTTACTTCATGCAGCTACCACAGTTTAAATCACTGATCTGATCATGTTTTAGATAAATAGGTGGGAAGTCAGGTAAAGCCAGCTTGCATTTTTGACAAATACTTATTATATTTATTATTATTTATTTGTTTGTTTACGACCCTTATATGCCTCCCTTCTTACCCCAAAGGGGACTCAGAGCGGCTTACAAGATATATACCTACAATATGTATTATATATTATATTATATTATATTATATTATAAGCATAGTACAATATCAGTATTATATATTATTATATTGTACTATACCATTATATTGTAATATTATTAGTAATATTATGTGTAATATAAAATATATAAGTATAATATCATATTAGTAGTAGTATTAAATTGTATTGCATTATAATATTATAAATATTATATGTAGATGCATTATATTATATTATATTATATTATATTATATTATATTATATTATATTATATTATATTATATTATTAGCATAGCACAGGAGACAAGGTGAAACTGTCCCCTGTCCCCTCTCTCTCAACTTTGGCCCAGAGCAGCAATTGTTGCTGGGGGGAGAGGTCCCCAACTGATGACATATGCAAGAGACAAGATGGAAATGTCCCCTGGCCCCCCTCTCTTCATTCTTATATATATATATTCTTATATAGCCTGTTTATTATCTAATAGTGGTCTAGGAAGGTGAAGCAATTCCTCTCTTTATTTCAAAAAAGGAATTGGCTGACATTGAGCTCATATTCTTATGGCTGTTACAACCGAGCCTGGCAACAAATATTATTATCAGGCAGCAACTATTGAAAAACACTTCCAAAATAAATTATAGTAACAGAAAAAGAATGTGGTAAGAGAAGTAAATGGATGTTGAAACTCAATAAAGGACTAAAATTCAAACCTTAGGTATGAGATTCAGGGTGATGTTGTTGGATTGCACAGTATCTACTGATAAATCTCATTCTTGTCACATGGTATATGTTGATAAATCTTATTTACTCCTTTCAACATAGTCCTCATTTATTTCCTCCAGAATTATTTTCTTTTAGCTATTAGATTCATATTCTTCAACAATTTTCATTCTTTTATCAGACAAATTTTGGTATTGCCGACTTTCCCCAAACCACAAAGTCTTGCACTATGGAGACTTGGAAGAGAGTCCCCAGGGAGAGGTTCCACATGATTCGTTACAAGATAAATGTAAGTATTCAAGCAATAGCAATGGATGTGCTTTTATTTCACATTTACTGTTTTACAGTAAGGCTTAGGAATGTGTGATGCCAGCTAGTGTAAGATTTCAAAAGATGATAATAAGGTAAAGCATAAAAATGGGGTAGAAGGGAGGCTGATGAGCAGATCCCTTCCCTTATTAAAGGAGTGGGGTTGAAGAAAGGAACAACAGATTTGTGTTATTATGAGTTAACATTGAAAGGAAATGTGCAGTAAAGTCATACTCCTTGTTTGACTGTTTCCAGGGTAACATGCATATCCGTCTTGTTGAAACAACAAGGGATACAATGATACCTTAAAGAAAAGCTTTCCAAACATTTCATGTTGGTGACATGTTTTTTTAAGATATGCATCATTTCATAACACAGTACATCAGTTTCACTGGCAAACTGGATCTTAAACCAACCTCTTATAAGAAATACAGGCTTGTATAGAAGTTGTCATAGTGAAATGTATAGAGACACAACATATATCATGAAAACCTTTCATTTATATTTTAAATATAATAATAATAATAATAATAATAATAATAATAATAATAATAATAATAATAATTTGACAAAGAAAAACATGGATGTGGCTCACAAATGGATGTTTGAAAAAGGAGACAGAGGGCCTGATTCTGGCAGCCCAAGAACAAGCCATTAGAACCAATGCCATCGAAGCCAGAATTGAAAAGTCAGTGACAGATCCCAAATGCAGACTCTGTAAGGAAGCAGATGAAACAATAGATCACATCCTCAGCTGCTGCAAGAAAATCGCACAGACAGACTACAAGCAGAGGCATAACACCATTGGTCAAATGATTCATTGGAACTTGTGCCATAAATACCATCTGCCTGCGACGAAGAACTGATAGGATCACAAGCCGGAAAAAGTTACAGAGAATGAACACATCAAGCTACTCTGGGACTTCCAAATTCAGACAGAGTTTTGGAGCACAATACTCCTGACCTCACGATCGTGTTAAAAAACAAAGTATGGCTCATAGATGTTGCAGTCCCAGGCGACAGCAGGATTGAAGAGAAACAACTGGAAAAGCTAACACAATATGAGGATATAAAGATCGAACTGCAAAGACTCTGGCACAAGCCAGTAAAGGTGGTCCCAGCAGTGATCAGCACACTGGGTGCAGTGCCTAAAGACCTTGACCTGCACTTAAACACAATCGGCACTGATAAAATTACCATCTGCCAGCTGCAGAAGGCCACCTTACTGGGATCTGCACGCATTATTCACTGATACATCACACAGTCCTGCACACTTGGGAAGTGTCCGACATGTGATCCAATACAACAGCCAGCAGAGTGTCTGCTGTGGACTCATCTTGTTGTGTTTCAAATAATAATAATAATAATAATAATAATAATAGTATTCCGCCCTATCTCCCAGAGGGGACACAGGGCGGATTCCAGCAAACATTCAATGCCTAGAAACAACAAAACAGATACAGAGATAAAGGTAAGGTTTCCCCTTCCAGCTGTGACGGGTTTATGCTCATCAACATTTCTAAGCCAAAGAGCCTGTGTTGTCCATAGACACCTCCTAGGTCATGACTGCATGGAGCGCCATTTATCTTCCTGCTCAGGTGGTACCTATTAATCTACTCACATTTTACATTTTTTGAATTGCTAGGTTTGTGACTAACAGCAGGAGTTCAGTCCATCCTGCGGATTTGAACGGCCAGCCTTCTGGTCAGCAGTTCAGTGGTTTAACCCATTGTACCACTGCAGCCCCTTTTTGTATGATTTATTGTTTTTCACATAGACTCAGGGGCTTTTTGTTGCCTTCGCATGACCCACCTACACACTGCAGCTGACACACTCACATTTCACAACTCAGTTTGGAAAGCTCTGCCTTTAAAATAATACATTTCATGCACTATGAGTTCATGCACTATGTTCCCACATCAGATGTTACAATGCATTTCATTTTATTGAAACCTGAGAGTTTCCTTTTCAGTCCAAAAAAGTGGCAGTGAGATTCATTGGTAATGCTTTATGTAATGCTAAGCCTTCCCAGGGCTTGTTTCTGGCCACTTTCCATCCTCCCAGCACTTCCTTGCCTTTACCTCCCCCTTGGCAGCAATCCACAACTCCTGCCTTTCGCCTACACCAGGACCCTAATTTGGGCTGCAGACTGTTCAAAAACCTGAAAAAGTATTAGAAGTTCACTTGCACAATTCAAGGGAAATCATTTCTTTAATGTCCATGCCACTGAAGATGTCATGACATTCCGCCTCTTTGTAATCTGATTGTGCCAGGCTACAAACTTTGTAAAAGTTACCAGCCCTGAGGCAGAATCTGAATGTAATGGATAGTCGAATCAGAAAAGGGTGAGTTGAGGTAATTATTTTGTCAATAATCACCACCAGTGGGCTTGTTTCTCAAAAAGCTTGTTTGTCACGTCTTCTTAGGAAAGGCTAATTGAACAGCAAGACCTTTCTATTGCAAAGTTTATTGAGTATCCTTGAGTTGGCTCCTTAAGAGGCTCTGGAACTCCCTGCCAAGGAAAACTAGCCCCACTCCCTGCTGTTCTTCCACCAGCAGGCAAAGGCTTTTTATTTTTATAGGAATTCATTTGGGTTAGGATTCAAGAATAAGCATTAAGCTCTTTATTTTTTCTGTTTAGTTATATTTTTAAATTATATGGATGCTGAGAGGATCCAACCATATTTATCATATGTTTCTAAAACCAGTGTTTGTATCAAATGAAGAAACACCAACCATATTCATAAGCTTGTGGAACATGAGCTGGTAGTCAAAGGCATTTTTGGCTACTAGATAGCTCCACTTTTAGTGACAGTCATGGGACATGCAGTGCATATATGTGTGTATGCATGAGAGAGTCCTTAGTATTTGACTCTTTGTTCATCCATTCCCCTGCCCAATCCGATGTCTGTTTGTGTGGAAAGGGAATGTTCACCTGACAAACATTTGAAATGTATGCCTAAGAAAAAGAATATTGAGTAGATTTGGAAAATAAATTATATGATAGCTGTGCTGGTCACAAAGCAAAATACAAAATCCACAAAAGAGTGATATGTTTATTGGCAAACCAAAATGCACAAAGTACCTCATTCAAGCTTTCTACACTCCACTGAATTTTCATCAGGCAAAAGATGCTAAAAAATCATTCACGAGAAGGAAAAAAAGAATGATGCTATTAGTCACAGGCCTACAGTTTTTGTAGGTGTTTTCCAGAGATAGATAGATAGATATATTTAGAAATTCAGTGTTTTCTGCTTGAGAGAGGGGCCTGTAGTTTTACAAACAAAGTGACACTCTGCACCCAAAGTGGGGTTATTTTATAGTGGCTTCATGGAGCTTATATTTTGTTGTCCTTTGTCTCACTCCCCATATGGTGAAAAAAAGAGGGAGTAGCCTCTGTCTGCATTGAGATTTCTTCAGACCAGAAGTTCCCAAACATATTTGACCTACCAGGTAAATTACTCACTGCACACCTCTGGAAATCTACCTTCTTTCAGCAAACAATCAGAAAGATGCTGTGACAAATATGTATTCTTTTGTGTATCTATATTTCTACCTACAACATCATAAATAAAGATATTGTTGTAAATAAGATATATTACAGCTTCAAATTATAAAATCATTTTCTAAATCAATTGTAGTATCATTTGCAGTACACACAGAAATTAAGATAACAAAGGATATTAAAATAAAAATTACAAATAACATTAAAATAATCTTAAATGAGAAGGATGAAGCTGATGTGCTGCTATTATTTTATTAACATTCACCTCTTATTTTTATCAGAAGCATGAATTTAAGGACTTATTGCACTAATATTGACTGCTTGTCAAAAAATTCAGAATCAATCTAATTTAGATTTCATATACATCGCCTACTTAATAGTGGCAAACCATACACCACCATACAAACCATAACTTTGTATGGTTCTCCATAGGAGCCCCCGAAGGCGCAGTGGGTTAAAGCACTGAGCTGCTGAGCTTGTTGACCGAAAGGTCGGCGGTTCGAATCTGGGGAGTGGCGTGAGCTTCCGCTGTCAGCCCCAGCTTCTGCCAACCTAGCAGTTTGAAAACATGCAAATGTGAGATCAATAGGTACCGCTCCAGCAGGAAGGTAACGGCGCTCCATGCAGGCCACATAACCTTGGAGGTGTCTGCGGACAATGCCGGCTCTTCGGCTTAGAAATTGAGATGAGCACCATACCCCAGAGTCGGACACGACTGAACTTCATGTCAGGGGAAAACCTTTACCTTTACCTTATTTAATAGTATCCTATTGTAAGCAAGTTATTACATGACATAGTCTTGCCAGTTCCATCTGGACTTCCTGACCATGTGTGACACACTTACCTGCCAGCACTTGCTTGATCAGCTATAACTTGCATTTTGTGTGTTCATTTGAAAAGAAAGTAATCACTACGACTTTAACTCTGTGTTACATAAGAGATGAAACATGTACTTCTTTTCAATTTGCTCTTCCTTCTTTACATTTTACTTCCTCCTTATAATTATTGATGACCCCCTAACTGCACCCCAAGCTACTACCATCTCCCTGGATCATTCCAGAGCCCTCCAGAGGACAGTATCACCCACTTTGGGAAGCACTGCTACAGATCAATTAAACTACATCAAAGCAAACATCTGATACAAAATGTAGGCCTGTAACTTCAGCACTGGCACTTTTTTCCTTTTTCTTATCCTGTATTATTTTTAAAGCATCTTTTGCCCGATGAAGAAACCAGTGGAACTTTGAAAGCTTGCACAATTCATTTTGTGCATTTTGGTTGGCCAATAAGGATCTCACTCTTTTGTGGATTAGTATATTAAAAGTTTTATGAAATAATCTGCAATTTTCATTTTAAAAGTATTTTAATTACTAGTATTTTTAGTATGCTCTTCAGAGCCAGGTTTGGAAAGCCATGAAAGCAATGGTCAAGAAAGACATGTTCCTTGAATGAGAAAAGTTTTTCATTTCATGTGTAGATTGAAAAAAAATTCTGCTGAATAGCCTAGGATGCAGTTTTCCAGAATTTGTTCTTTAATTTTTCATTTTGTTGGACTACAACAAAAGTGGATTGAAGGATTTGTGGCACTACTTTTTCACTTGCCATTTACTGGCCAAATAATAAATGTTTTACAGATTGTACTCTTTTCTATGTTGGGAAAGTACTGAGAACAAAATACTACATAGCAATGAAAATAAAAGGTTAAGAGATCTTTTTTAGAAAGTCTTCACTCAATGGCCCCAGGAGAAACTTCCACAGCTTGAAGACAAGTATACAAAGAAAATCCAACAATACAATTCCATTAGCATGTAGGCTTTCATGTTAAAGTTTTAAAAGCATAACAGTTGTTCAGTAACAGGAGGACTAACATAATAAAATATGTATGGCTGTTGAGAAGTATATTTACTAAGTTAATACACATGAACATAGCACATACTGCCTTTTCCTGACCTGTATTGTTACTTGCTTGTGCCAAACAAGCTGCACTTGGACTCCATCACAAGCCCAGATCACAGGTTAACTGTGATGTTGAAAAGCTTCCCAAAGTCGCTTTGGTCGAACCTTTTTGGGCCTTTGGTAATGCCTTCAAATTTCCTTCTACATAACCCAAAATGCAGTTGCCAGACACCTATTAATAGCATAGAAAATGGATCAACAGCATTCTTGTAAAGACTGTAAGTGTATTACATTGTAGTGTAGAAGGGAAAAGTGGTTGTGTGTCAGACACCAACTTCAATAGTATTGGTGACAAGAACACAGATGGATACATGTATGCCAGCATTTGTTGAAATTCCATTTTCAATAATGAAGTGTGGCAAATCTGAAGGCTGCAAACTACCAGTTGTGCTAATCCTAACTGGGAAATGATGCTCATGCAACATTTTATGCTTTTTAAAGTACGCAGTGTTACCATTCTTTACTTTCTTCCATCCCCCAGTAAAGTCAGATTGGTACTAACAACCTTCTCTGTAATTATATTAATTAGACAATACAGTGTCCCTTTCTAATGTTATGGTGCAAGTCCATGGCAAGAGATTCTGTCAGATTATACCTTTGTTGACAGTAGCCTGAAGCTCTTAGAATATTACAAAAAAGCAAGTGCTGCATTTACAAATAATAAGGTCTCCTAGGAAAAACAGTGTCTCGAATAAAGCATTCATCCATTATGTTCAGAAGGAAAGCAATGGCATATTATTTCCAATACCTTGGGCTTTCATTTTAAATAATAAATATATCGCTTTCCATTAGTCTAAGATCAGAATCAAAGATAGGCGTACTTGCTTATTATCCCGAGTCTCATGAATGTGTGTGAGAGTGCAAGTGTGTGTGAGAGAGAGAGTGTGTGTGTTTCCCTGTTTCCTTGGAGTGGCTTTCAAATGGATAAGGTTGGGGAAGCTGTTTTCCCAGAAAAGTCAGACACAGCAACTTATTGTCATCTTGGAATACTGTGTCCAATTCTGGGCACAGTTCAAAAGAGATATTGACAAGCTGGGAGGTTGTCAATATTTCAAAAGAGATATTGACAAGCTGGAAGGTGTCCAGAGGAGAGCAACTAAAATGATAAAAAATCTGGAGACCATGCCCTATGAGGAGCGTCTTAAAGAACTGGGTATGTTTAGCCTGGAGAAGAGAAGGTTGAGAGGAGACTTGATCGCCATATATAAATATGTGAAAGGGTGTCAGGCTTGATTTTTGCTGCCCTGGAAACTAGGACTCGGAGCAATGGGTTCAAATTACAGGAAAGGAAATTCCACCTGAACATTAGGAAGAACTTCCTGACTGTAAGAGCTATTCAGCAGTGGAACTCTCTGCCTCGTAGTGTGGGGGGAGCTCCTTCCTTGGAATCTTTTAAACAAAGGCCGGATAGACATCTGTCAGGGGGTGCTATGACTATGCTTTTCCTGCATGGCAAGGGGTTGGACTAGATGGCCCATGTAGTCTCTTTCAATTCTATGGGCAGAAGGGGGAGGAAAATAGGAAATTAAATAATTTGGTAGAATAGTATTATGCATTTTTTCTGCTCCAATAAAATCAAGTTTAGTGGAAAGAGGGTTTATTTATTTTTTCATAATAAAGTAGCCATGCATTTGGGACCATCAAGGAAAAATCATGAAAGTAATAAAATTCCTCCTACATTCTTATAACTACTTAACTTTGGATAAATGGCACAGAATTCAGTTATATTTCTGAGCAAACATGTATAGCATCCTCATCAGCCCATACATCTTAATTTCTTAGGAGAGCAGAGAAAGCCAGTTAACCTTTTCATGTGCCTGGTTTCCCTGATTTTTGTTTTGTTTGGTTCTTTTCTCACATCAGAAGTTGGAACATGACACAAGGAATGCTATTTCTAATACATCAGTTTTGTGTTACATCTTTGAGACTACAGTGTTTTTCTTGTATACTTCACTGGAATATCTCTCATGCATTCTTTTCCTTTTGATACAGTGCCTGTGGCAGATATAAAAGCTGTTGTTACAGGAAAGGACTGCCCTCACATGAAGGAGAAGGGAGCCCTGAAACAAAACAAGGTATTATTTTCAATAACGTCCAGTGACTTTTAGTTATGCTTTGCTCTTGACAAAAAGAAAGTATTTGTTAATTCCTTCTCAGAAGGTTTGCAAGTTTCTTTTCAAATGTTTCTTTTATTTTTAATCTCAAGCACATCTACATTGACCAATGTCAAACCGGCATTAAAGTGATTTTGCAGGTAATTACATAGGAAATCCTGGAGCCAATTTGAGGCCCAGATGTTAATAACAGAAACCACAGAGCACTGGTGCACATCAAGAGCTTTCTGTTGCATGCTTTTGTTTGTGTTTGTTGTCTGGCCACAATAGTTTTACCTCTTCATCACACTAGAGAAGAAATCCACTTAAAATCCAGATTCTGCCTCCTACAGAATTCTGGGGTTTGTAGTTTAGTGAGGCAGTTAAAGGCTCCTCCCTAAACTTCAAACCCCAGAATTCTGCAGGAGCAGAATCCAGATTTTAAGTGGGTTTTTTCTCTAGTGTGACAAGACTAGCTTTGAACTACATTAAATGGTCAGCAAAAATGGGGTAGACACACTTAAAAGAGTTTCATATAAATCCAGTGGAATAAAGACCTCATTAATGGACAATGCAACACGGTGAAACCATTCTCTGTATGATTAAGCCTGGCTAATGTAAGTCACATGAAACAGAACAGCAATGCAGTAGTTCCTGAAGCTCAGCAAAGAGAGAGGAATTTCCCAGTTGTGGGATAATACATGCTGTATGTAAATGCAATTGACACTAAACTGATACTGATCTTGGAAATTCGAATGTGTGGCAAAGTAGATGAAGTATCCTTATGGATCTCCTGGAAGAAACCCAACTGCACAGCGTGATACTGTACCAAGCAGCTATTTCTTTGAATTATGTCTGTAATTCTAGAATGAGAGCCATACTACAAATCATCATCATCATCATCATATTTAACTACTTATTAATTGCCCTCCATCCGAGAATGCTCTAAACGATTTACAGCTAAATTGTAAAAGATAAAATACATACATACAGAATTTAAAAATTAACAGAGATTGAATGCTCTAGTAAAAAGCCAGGTCTTAAGTGCTAGAGTAAAAGGCCCTAAGTCACACATGGCTCTCATATAGGGCGGCAAGGAATTCCATAAGGCAGGGGCAGAAATAGAAAAAGCCTTGCGTCTGGTACTTTCCAAGTGCACAAATTAGCTTACTACATAATATACACGGTAACCTTCTGTTTTATTTTTAAATGCAAGCATGGTAGAGGCATTTGAAAGGAACTGTAGCATAGAGGAAGGGTAGATTTGTCTCTTTTTTACACAGACTCTCTCCCCAATTCTGCTAAAAATAAAAAGAGAACGAAAGCTTGTTGGCAACACTGGGAATTTATTTGTAAGTCGTTCAGGGCAGTTTTGGGGAACATGTCACAGCTGGAGAGGGGAGGGTTAAGCTTGCCATCCCTGAAGGCCTGAGACTGGAGAAAAACTACCAAATCACTCTAAAATTAGTGAACTACAGAAACCAAGGGTGGGACTTTAATGTAGACCAGGGTTCTTAAACTGTGCTCCATGGAGTCCTTGGGGCTTCATGAGTAATAGTCAGGGACTCCGTGATACCGTGATGCTTCTCACTTTCTCCTCTTTCCCCCTCCTCCTCCTCCCATCACTGAAAGAAACCTTTCATATACATAGAGGTTCAGAATGTTTTGTGCATGTATAGTCTTTAAAGTAAATAAAAAGATAACTGAGCTTAGGGTATGGCCGGATAGCAGTTTGGAAAGCCATCTTTCCAAGCATTCTCACTATACTCCTCCACCTGGAAAACATGTTTTATTTATAATTGTAAATAAAAGTAACCCCTTGTTTTTTGTTTCTCAAGCCAGAACCGAAAGCATAACATATTCCTCCTCTAACATTTAGTGAAACTATAACCTACCTAACCATAAAGATAACTTTCTGAAGCTACAGTTACTCCATAAAAATTCTGCTATCCCTAGTCCAGGTACAGCCATAATTCTAAGTTCTTAGAACTCTGGTATTACAATTAACTATTTTAGTAACTGGTTAGTTCCAAGTTTTGGTGCATATTCTAGCTCTCTGTCCAATTACCTTGTTAGACATATATTAAACAAGGGAAAGGTTTTTATACAGTGTTGGATAGCTCCAAAGTGGGGAATATCTTGAGCACTTGCCTCTTGTCACTGAACCAACCAGATTCTCAGGAATCTGGTTGGTTCAGTTCCCTCATTTGTAAAGTACTGTAGTAGTTTCCAAAACTTAACTTCCTTAAATTAAGTGCCATGGCACCTCAATAAAGTTACTCTAAACCTGGATGTAGGGGACTGAGGAGGAGTGCTTTTCCATAACATGACAGTGAGGTCAGAAATACATGGAACTATTTGAGAATTGTAACAGTGATTGACAGATTCTGAAGTTGTTATATTACAATTTAAAAGTTCCAAGTACTACAAATTTACAACAGCTTACACAGGTAGATGACTATAAATGTTATAGATGTATTCAATTCTGCGTTTTCTGAACTAAATGATGAATTGAATATAATGTATAGTCAGAATGTGAATTTCTGCACTTGAATTTCCACCTGAATATTAGGCCATCTGTCACGAATGCATTGATTGTGCTTTCTTGCATGGCAGTGGGATGGACTGAATGGATTTTGTCATCTCTATGATTTAAAAAGACATGCCTTTGAAAAATGTGCTGCAAAAACACTATGTACATTTCTTTAAAAATCAGAAATATACTTTATTCAATGTAGGCTTACATCCATTACAGCAAGCATTAGGAAAATGCACATAAAATAATATATAGTTTTTGCTTTAAGAACAACCAGATGCAGTCTGCTCTAGGCTTCTATCAGAGCTCTTTTCGCAAACAAAAAAAGACTACTGGATCGGTGTTACAGGGTCTTCTTTCTATGTATAAAATACTTGCTGTATTGTGTTTCTTGCATGTCTGAAGAGAACTTACAAAGGACGTTTTCCTCCATATGCCTTCATTCTGCATAGCAACCCCCTTCATGTTTACATATTGCCAGATCAGAAGTGACAGAATGATACTGCCACAAGCAAAGAAAAGATATGGCAGCATGTCCTTACTGGTGGTTTCATCATTTTCCCATTTGCCAGCATACAGCTTTTTCCCTTCCAGTGAGATCATTAGCAACAGATAAGCTCTATCTTAGATGGGAACTGAATGGCCTGCCTCGCTTGAATAACTTGGTAGGACACCACCTCGTTTACTTGTTCTGCTCTTTCCCATTTTTCAGTATTTTCTTTAATTACAAGCAGTGTGATTTATGCCATGTTAGTAAGTCACTTGTTTCCATTGAATGTGTGATATGCAAACAGCAAACAAAACAAATCCAGAAAATACTGTTTTATCAACCCTGCATTGCTTTAATCGGCCCTCACATCAGTGACATTTGGGGAAAATCTTGAGTGTACACTTAGCATATTTTCTACCAAACCGATTGTACAAAAAAGGTTTGAAGATCTAGAACTCCTTTTCAAAAATCACATTATTTCCATGTTTTGGAAAAATACTAATATGATTGCTTTGTGTACTCCCAATTGACACTCAACAAGCAATCCCAGAAATACCCCTGGAAAAAGGCAGCTGCTTCTTTCTTTGTAAAACCCTTGAGTACTAGGTGCTAATTTAGGAATTTGCACAAAGTAGGAAGAAAAATACAGCACAGCTATCCTAATAGTGTACCACATCAGAATAAATGCAATAGAGATTCCATATTTGAGTACTTCCGAACTTAAAGTATTCCCCCTCTACAATCTACATAGAAAACAGTCATGTTAAGGAAATTGATATGGTAGCTCTTCTTCTTGAGGGCATCATCAGTTCTCAAATTTATTGTTGAAGGTTTCCATGGCTGGAGTCACTGGGTTGTTGTAGGTTTTTCAAGCTATATGGCCATGTTCTAGAAGCATTCTCTCCTAAGCAGAAAATGCTTCTAGAACATGGCCATATACCCCGAAAAACCTACAACAACCCAGTCCTCAAATGGGATAACATGACAACAGATCCCTCTTCTTCCACCATGGCTACATTCTGAAGTGGAGCATTGCCCAAGGACTATGTCACATGATTCTTCTGCATGTGTAGAGCAACACTAATCAGGAATAAACTAAACATTTATTTAGATCTTGGGAAATTGCTTCTTTAGATAACTGTTCCCAGAATCCTCTATCTAGCATGGCCATTGGTCATGAAGATTCTGGGAACTGAACTCCATGAAAGCAACTTTTCCAAACAGTTTCTACTACTGTTATAGTGGTCTCTTGCAGTGGGGAACACGTAGCCCTGGGTTTACTCCTGAGTATACAATAGCCATCTATTTGCTCTCATTCACATTTCAACCTGATTCCAAAAATCTTCAGCAGATGATAGCTTCAAGTCCTAACCTGCTAGATCGAGAGTGAGAGGAAAAGAAGCAGGGAAGAAAAGTGGGGGGGGGGGAGGGGGGATGGTGGAAGTAGGCATAGTAAAGTTATAGGTCTTCCCAGTTTGGCCTATAGCCCTACCTGCCTCCATTATACAGTCTTTGGCAGATGGCCTCCAAGGGAATGCAGCCCTCAGCAGAATAAAGGCTTCTCTTCTCTATCTTAAATGAAAAAAGAGGGATATAAATTAAAACAGATAAATCATCACTGACTAGAATACACATGATGTAATAAGTACAACATAATGTACCTTCTTTGGAGAAAAGTAGTGTCATCCTTCAGAATTCCCCAAGGTCTGGTTACCTAGGTACACATAAACATTTTCAGCTGTTGCCTCTGTCCCAGCAGCAAATACACAAATCCTTGAATTTCACAGTTAACTATATTGTATAATGACTATTTCTTCTTATGAAGAAAACAACTTTCCCCTAGAAATATGGGACAACTTAGGAAAGACCATGTCTGTTATTCATACTTGGTACACAAGATAAAATGTTAACCAGTTTCTGGTGATCTTCACAGCAGAATAATCCTTTGCTTCTTTATTGTTTCTTTTTCTTTGTGGAAAATAATGAAATATCACAAGTTGGCAGCAACTAAACTATATAGCTGCACATTGTTCATGAACTGTTGCAAAACATCAAAAACAAAATGTATTACCACTCAATTATAAATGTCTTAATTAAACTGTTAATATAGGGTTTCAAACTTTCTGTCCTCCACTTATCTCTTGACCCACTCTACACTGGGTCACATGACTTGAATCAGAACCATTCTCACTGAAAAGTAAGATAATTTCTAACGTTTGTTTCTACAAAAGAAAACTATCAAGTGATGACATGTAGAGGTTTTGCAGTTATACAATATATTGTTTGATATATTATAAAATTCAGAACCAGGAACAAAAAAATGGACAACTTCATAATACATGATCTAGATTTGCTTCCATATTGTCCTGTGTTCTATATTTGTTATATTCTGACTATAATCTTTTTGTAACTAGGAAATCATTACAATAACATTATTTGATTGCTAACTTTAATTAAAATTTATACATTGTGATCCTCTTTGAAAATTAGGTGACATCGTGACATTCTATTGTCGAAAGCTTTCATGGCTGGAATCACTGGGTTGTTCTGTTTTTTGGGCTACATGGCCATGTTCTAGAAGCATTCTCTCCTGACGTTTTGCCTGCATCTATGGCAAGCATCCTCAGAGGTTGTGAAGTTAACCTCTGAGCATGCTTGCCATTGATGCAGGTGAGACATCAGGAGTGAATGCTTCTAGAACATGGCCATATAGCCCGAAAAACCTACAACAACCCAGTGATTCCAACCATGAAAGCTTTCGACAATATAATGTCATGATGTCACCTAATTTTCAAAGAGGATCACAACTCCCAGAAATCCCAGCCAGTTTACCAACTGTTAGGATTTCTGGGAGTTGAAGATCAAATCAACTCGGGACCCACAGGGTGAGAACCACTGTGCTATGTGGAATGCCATTATGGATTGTAAGTTTTTCGGGCTACTGCTTTTATTTTACTAGATGAATTAAAGTTTCCACTATTAAAGGAGCATTTTGTACTGAATTATCATTTTTAAACAATTCTGAAAAACAACAGTTTCTTTTTTGGCAACTACTCTTTTATATTATTTTTAATGTAACATATGTCTGCTGCAGTGGCCTAAATAAAATACCCTAGAGCATCTGATCCCATCTGCTTGGAAGCTAAGAAGGGTCAGCTCTATGGCTGTGAGAATGCTATAGGCTATATTTCAGAGGGAAGGATTTGTAAAACACTTCTCTTGAGTATTTCTTGCCTTAAAAATCCAATGAAACTGATAGGATTGCTAAAAGTCAACAATTGTATTGAAGACGTACACACCCACAATGCAGCTTATCTCATTACTAGGTCATAAAAATCTTAGTTCTAGTGCTATGTGTAATTTTATCTTGATTGCATTGCAGCAGAAATGTCAAGTTATATGAAAAAGCCTACCCTACTAAGCAACAAGAGTACTTGGCTCCCACTTCTCTTGTGATTGCTTTCTAAATACCTCACCCACCCTAAAGGCCCTTTTGCCAGAAAGCATGCAAAAAAGCCTGCAAGTGCAAACTGTAAATTTATTTATATCACTGATAGTGTCTAATGGGATGTATGAGGACTGACGGTTTACGTAAAAGAAAGTGCTGTATTTATTTCTGAGCAATACGTACATTGCTAGACTCAGAACTTGGAACATATAACTTGTTTAGAGTTAATTCTCAGAATCTTCTAACTAGCTGTGTTAGTTGGAAGATTCCGAAAGTTATAGAGGTTAAAAAAACAAACCAACCCCCCCCCCCCCCCAAAAAAAAGCAACTTAGCTATGGAAGAGCTATTGTCTGTGCTGGTAAATGCTATTGAATTCTCCTTTGGTGTGTTCTAGAAATAAATCAACAACAAAAGCAGCCAACGTTAGACTTGTCCCCTCTCCCAGGAATCACAAGGCCATTTCTTCATTCTGTTCATTGATGCAACAGTATTTCAAAAGCTGCTGCATGGTGACTCGCATCTCCCCTGGGCTTGCCACTGTGGAAATAAAATTGTAAATTAGCTTTCTTCTATTTAAGTGAATATTGCAGAGTCAAGTTTGAAATAATGTCATACTGAGGAGGTGGCAGGCTTGTTTAATGCTACTGTAGAGACTAGGACACAGAGTGGTGGATTTAAATTGCAAGAACAGAGATTATAATCATAATAATGTTAATAATAAACAAAAAAATGTCTTACCCGCCTCTCCTCGTGGCTCAAGGCAGGTTACAACATAGCTAAAACATGTCATTATTATATAAAGTACACATATTAAAATGTCTTTTTATAAAATACATATATTAAAATACACAAAACAAGGATTAAAATATAGCAAACACAAGATGAGAGTTTAACATTCATAATAGGCTGGGTAGACCTGTAGGAAGAGATGGGTCTTCAGATGTGTTTTAAATTCCAACAGCTGATTAAGCTGTTGATTCTTTTCCAGCAGATTCCACCTAAACATTAGGGAGAACTTCCTGGTGGCAATGGAATATTCTGCCTCAAAGTGTGGTGGCATCTTCTTCTCTGGATATTTTTAAGCAGAAGCTACGACCATCTGTCAGGAGTGCTTTTATTGTATTTCCCTGAATGACAGGGGGTTGGACTGGATAGCCCTTGTGAGCTCTTCCACCTCTATGTTTCTATGTGATATCTTGCAACTTTATTGGTAGAAATCAGGCCAACCTTTGGATTTTCTGCATGGAAAGGTTATAAACAATTACCTTAGCATCTTAAAGTTTTAAACATTTATTGTTGTATATTTTTTATGTTCTAGAATTACTCTCATCATCCCCAATGATGTGCTCTTATGTTTTGCTACAAGGAAGCCCAAATCAAGAAAACAAATGAATGCCAAATACTGTCCCAAAACATCAATATCTGCACCTCAGAGAGTAGCCTGTAATCAGCCAAATCCTACTGTTTAGTTAAAGGGCTACAAATCTCAGTTATTTGCCAGAATTAGACTAAAAAGTACTCATCCAGAAGTAGTGATCCAGGAACGTTGAGACTACAAGTCAATTCACACTTAAAGGTTGCTCACAATTTAGGTATTAGGTAAACAAATAGCAATAAACCTTTAGTTCACATTCTCTCACCATTTTTCTTTATCAAGCATGGTCATAAGGAGGAAAATAAAAGCACTTGTTTCTTGCCGTAATGACTACATTGTACTCTGGTTAGTTCAAACTGTATAACAATGTTTAATGTTGGCTTGTTCAAACAAAGCAATATTTGAACAAATCATGGTTTGTCCTTCTCGTGTGCAAGGAACCTCGATGGTGAGCTCTCCTCCTCAAAACCACAGTGAAAAATCGAGAAAGCAAGAAGGCTTGAATCCAGTACACTATGTTATAGCATTCATTGTGAACTGAGAATATTATATTGTTAAACCATTTTAGGAGTTTCATATTCTAATTTGCCTTGTCTCTTTTCAGGAAGTACTTGAGCTAGCTTTCTCTATCTTGTTTGACTCAAATGGACAGTTAAATTTCATCGCTCCTGACAAGCATGAGGTAAAAATGTCTATTTTTTTAATAATAAAAATATCACACAGTCCTCCTTCATGTCCAATAAATGGTTGAATTTCTTGGTTGGCAAACAGGGAACTCAGCAAAACCATTTCAGGTAGTCCACCAGAATCAACCAGGAGAGGTAAGGCTTTCCAGAGATCTCTGAGATTATATCTTAACTGATTCTCATTTCTCATAGTGGGATTATACTGTCATAGTGACTCCTAAAATACAGCAGAATAATCTGAACCTATATGAATAACACAGCCAAAAAAACCCGAAACTTCTTGGTGTCTTGGTTTTTAGATCTGTTTCTGGATTTTTGGGGGGTGTATTGAATAGATCGCACCAGCTCTTCTTACTTTGATATGGTTATCATGATTTTCTATGGGTGTGGAGGTCATAACTGGTAGGTGGCATATGTTCTGTATCTCAAAAACTAGATCTGATAGGGGGAAACTGGTATCATTTTTGGAATCAGAGGGTAAAATATATCCAGAAACAGGGCTTAACATTTAATGCACCAAAATGTGTGTTGGCCAGTGTAATAGATTTTTATGAGGGAAAAAATGAGATAACAGATGAACATATCGTAAGTTATATATGCATGACATAACATTTTAAAAATCTTTTGCGGTTAAAACAAAAAAAAAATTATTTCAGCAAAGAAGGGCTTTACCAAGTTGCAAAGCATCACGATGAAATAGTGAGACTGGTGTCTCCTGGAAGGGACTCCTATACACAGCCTATATTCAGCTGTCTAGAAGCCTATATCCCAAGTCACTATATATGTTGCTTGGACATGCAAGAGGACCTCCAAAAATGTTCTAATCCAGTACTTTTAGTACTCAGAAAGAAACAGGAAGTCAGTACAGCCGTTTCAGCTGGAAAAGAGAATGCATCCTGGTGTATTTTGGAGTAATTGTAACTTCAAATTCTGTGTTATATGCAAGGCAATAACTGTGAAGGCATATGTCACCCTGCAGAGATCTCCATTCTTGAGGAATAGGCATTGGAATAGGCTAAATATCCTCTGTATTCAAGGAAGAGCTCTACCAGCCAACAGGCATCTAATTCTTCCTCCTAGATTTGTTTTACTGGCCCTAATCTGGATTATTTTAAGTTTGTGAGTTCATATCCATTGCCTTCCCCAGGCAGTGATTTAGGATTCTTGTACCAGTATGAAATGAGGTGGAAAAAAACTTGAATTGAAATCGAATTATTTCACATATTGGTAACCCTGATTCAAGGTTGGTTCAGGGAATTGTTTCACATATTGGTAACCCTGAATTCCCTGAACCCAAATGGCCTCCTCCAGTTCATTTATGTAGACATTAAATAATACGAAGGACAAAATGGAAATTTGCGGGATATTAATGGCAGGAGGAAATACAGCAGTACTCCAGCACAGTATGTTAAAAGTCATCCAAGTCTCATCTTCTACCTTGTTCTGTACTAACCCTTTTCTCTGAACTGTCATTGAGGGTCTTGTTGTTCCAGAAGGACAGCATTAACAATGGTATCAAAAGCCATTGAGTCCAAAGGAATCAGGATGAATGCACTGTCCTGGTGTTTAGACCCAAAGTGGGCCTATAACTAGATTGAAAATGGATGTTGATCATTAATCTATCTCACAAAAGTCAAAGAAGCCACTACATGCTCAAGCATCCTGCCTAAGAAAGGAATACCACAGATTTATCAACACTTTTTAAGATTTCTCTTCCCATATGGAGACATTTACCATATCTGCTAGTTCATTGCCAGTCTACTTCTGGCTACTTTTACCAAGCCAGGATGGTTGTGCTCAAATATATGTGCCATGACCTCTCCAAGAGTCCTGTCCACATACTCATTTGTACATTTACTGGCAACGTTTATTTATTTACAACATTTCTACCTCGCCCTTCTCAACCCCCGAGGGGGGACTCAGAGCGGCTAACACAGGCAGCAATTCGATGTCACAATATCACAATATACAGTAATATTAAAACCATAAATACACAATAGATTAAAACAATAATAATTATACAGTCATAGTAGACATTTCCATTATCATAACTATCATCATATGGTGCAATTCAGTGTCCAAAGTGCCGTTGTGCCTACTAGCCAAAGGCCTGGTTCCAAATCGCGATTTCAGTTTTGCCCTAAAGGAAAGGAGGAAGGATGCTGATCTAATCTCACTGGGGAGCGAATTCCACAAGCAGGAGGTCACCACCAAGAAGACCCTTTCCCTCGTCCCCACCAGATGCGTTTGCGAGGCCGGTGGGGACCGAGAGCAGGGCCTCCCTGGTGGATCTTAAACTATGAGGTGGAGCATAGAGGGAGATACGTTCAGACAAGTAAGCTGGCCGGAGCTGTATAGGGCTATATAGGCCAAGAACAGCACTTTGAATTGTGATCGGAAATAGACTGGCAGCCAGTGAAGTTGACATAGCAGGGGGGTAGTTGAAGTTTCCAAACAGTCTTCAAAGGCAACCCCACGTAGAGTGCGTTGTAGTAATATATTCGGGATGTAACTAGAGCCAGTTCTTATTATAATATCAATATGGTTTTAAGATTTTGTTGTATGATTGATTTGAACCACTCTTCACCCGTCTGAATGGCACTTTATCACCAAAAGTAGGGAGGAATGTATTTTTTATATACAGTATCCATACGCATGTTCTTTTGCATAAATAAATTATCTAAAACTGAGTATGTGTGATTTTATGCACTAAGTGCCTTAAAAGTAGGCCAAAATTTCCTCACTTTCACTTTGTGAGCTTAAAAAGGAAAACAACCATGGAAGACTAACAGTTTGTTTCATCCATGGCAGAGTCGGCTCCAATGAGCACTCAAGCCTACTCAGCCATATTTGTTTTGAACACTTCCCTACTACTATGCTAATCCTAACAACAGTGCTGCATGGGTTATCTTATTAGGTTGATGAAACTCTATTGCATGTCCCAACCCATTCCCTTTGTTCTGTTCAACTTCTCTCTTTTATGCATCTCCCTTCCCCTGGTTACATTCATATAATAATTCATCCATTCCTCCCTCTTCTTTAAGGCTTGAGATACACGGTGAGCTCTAGCTATTTTTAATCTTAGTGCTGTTTTATAGCACATGGCCAGCTAAATTTAAAATCCATCCTTTGGCAAGGAATGTACGGGAATCTTTTATATGATAAAAATGCAGCTATGGTTGATTTAATTTTCCACTCGTAAACTAGGACACAGGCCAATGTGATTGAAATCTTTATTTTTAGACAATACCATTCAAGCACTTTTGTTCACTGTTGCATAAATGGCTTTTAGTAATACATTCAAGTGGTTGATTGGATAGAATTTGACTGTTGTTCACAAAGTCCCCTAGGACAGTTGCTGATTTAAAACACTTACTTAGCCCATGTTTATCTGGAACTGTCAGCTTCAGGGAGACATGGCAATTTCTAAGTATTTTTTTCCAAGAGAGGAAATGTTACAATATTTTTTACAGTTAAATCCAGCCTTCAGAATCACTATTTTTTTCCGAAGTCATGTTACACTGACATACTGCTCATTCATAAGAAGAGTGGGATGGTACAAAGTTTCACACATTTCATAACCGATCCAGTGATATAATATACTTACTTACTTAGGCGATCCCTTGTAGTCCGAGGATGAAGGTCCTCCAGGTTCGGTGTCCTGGCGGTGGGTCTGTAGGTGACTGTGGAGTCCTATTCTTGATCTGCATCTTCTTCCGCAGTGAGGGCATTGGTTTCCAGGTGGAAGGCGGTCTCGGTCGGGGTTAGCTTGACGTGCCTTCCTGTTTCTCTCTTTCACCCTCCATTCATGCCTCTTCAAATTCTGCAGTACTACTGGTCACAGCTGACCTCCAGCTGGAGCGCTCAAGGACCAGGGCTTCCCAGTTCTCTGTGTCTATACCAGAGTTTTTAAGGTTGGCTTTGAGCCCATCTTTAAATCTCTCTTCCTGCCCACCAACGTTCTGTTTTCCGTTCTTGAGTTCGGAGTAGAGCAACTGCTTTGGGAGATGGTAGTTGGGCATCCGGACAACATGGCCGGTCCAGCAGAGTTGATGGCGGAGGACCATCACTTCAATCCTGGTGGTCTTTGCTTCTTTCAGCACGCTGACGTTTGTCCGCCTGTCTTCCCAAGAGATTTGCAGGATTTTCTGGAGGCAGCGCTGATGAAATCGTTCCAGGAGTTGCATGTGACTTCTGTAGACAGTCCATGTTTTGCAGGCATATAGCAGGGTTGGGAGGACAATAGCTTTATAAACAAGCACCTTGGTCTCCCTACGGATATCCCAGTCCTCAAACACTTTCTGCTTCATTCGGAAAAATGCTGCACTCGCAGAGCTCAGGCAATGTTGTATTTCGGTGATTTTATATTGCTAGAAATATTATTGATAAAATGGATTTGGAACTGTCTTCTTTTCATGTTCATCAGTAAAGCCTAGAGAAACCCTCACACATCCCACAGAGAGATTACGAAAGATACACATGTACTCTCGTTCAAATATTCTCTAAGTAGGTTAAATTCAAGGGGGGTGTAGGAACCCCCATCATGTAAAGCACGCAGAGAAATACTTCTATTTGCAGTGGCTGCCCAGATGACTCAGAATCCTCCAGTGGGACAGGTCTAGCATGCCCCACTCCTCACAAGTTTGCTTAACCTAGTTAAAGAACACTTCAATAGGACTATATACTCATGTACATCCTCCCTATTAGTCTGGATGATTTACAACATGTTTCTTTTTAAACATGGTGACCCAGATACTTGTCCCAGATTAGTTTTGACAAGCAAAGGTGTCCCTAAAATTGAAGCAATTTCAAAGTGTCCCGCATTAAAAGAGATTGATTCTGCTCTTAGATGTACAGTACCTTCCAGGAGTATTCACTCCCTGTGTGAGAGGGAGGCTGAATCCTTATAAAACCCATATGTGCTTGTTTGTTTTTGTACTGTATATTTAATATGTATGCCGTATTAAACCTACAGTTAATCCCTGAGTTACAAACATCTGACTTACAAATGACTTATAGTTAAGAATGGGAGTAAGACGAGAGGAAGTGAGGTGAAATGAACCCCTAGAAAGGAAAATCTACTCCTGGAAGAATTATCACCAATCCCTGTTTCCACAAGAAGACACATTTTTCAAAATCGAATTATCACAAGGACAGAAAGTGAGGTGAAATCTTCTGAACAGGGCCACAGACAGCAGAGCAAACACCACAGGAATGTTAACGCTTCCCTATGCTATCCAAAGCTAAAAGATAGGTGATAGATAGATACTAGGCCTGGGCAATCCATGGTTCTAAAGTACAAACTAAAGTTCTGATGGTGAAAATTTCACAACTCTAACAAAATTTTCAAAATTTAATTATTATTTCATTATTGGTGGTTTTTATGAAAGAACCAATTAGGAACTTCCATTTATAATGAAATTTTGAGAGTTTTGTTAGAGTTCTGAAATTTTCACCACCAGAATTTTAGTTTTGTAAGTACTTTAGAACCAGGTTCTTGTGGGTTTTTTCGGGCTATAGAGCCATGTTCTAGAGGCATTTCTCCTGACGTTTCGCCTGCATCTATGGCAAGCATCCTCAGAGGTAGTGAGGTCTGTTGGAAATAGGAAAATGGGTTTATATATCTGTGGAATGGCTGGGGTGGGGCAAGGAGCTCTTCCCTTCTGCAGCTAGGTGTGAATGTTTCAACTGATCACCTTCATTAGCATTTGAAGGCCTGCCTGAGCCTGGGAAAATCTCTTGCTGGGAGGTGTTAATATGTGCCTGGTTGTTTCCTCTCTGTTGTTTTGCTGTTGTAATTTTAGAGTTTTTTAATACTGGTAGCCAGATTTTGTTCATTTTCATGGTCTCTTTCTTTCTGTTGAAATTGTCCACATGCTTGTGGATTTCAATGGCTTCTCTGTGTAGTCTGACATGGTGGTTGTTGGTGTGGTCCAGCATTTCTGTGTTCTCAAATAATATGCTGTGTCCAGGCTGGTTCATCAGGTGCTCTGCTATGGCTGATTTCTCTGGTTGAAGTAGTCTGCAGTGCCTTTCATGTTCCTTGATGCGTGTCTGGGCGCTGCTTTTGGTGGTCCCTATGTAGGGACCCCCAAACATACAAGTGTATCAAGTTGTAGCAATGCCAATTAAATCCAAATCCATTCCAGACTGTCACACAACAAAATGTGGCAAAGTGGAGGGAGTATGTGTGTGAATAATTCTGCCAAAGCACCTCAGCTGAGTATCAATTAACACTGTAAAAAACAGAGTCACAAATATTCTCCTCGTCAACCAGAAAGGTTGGGTCCACACATTAAGAAACCTCATTTGAAAATTATCAGTAATACTTTGGGGACTTTGTGCAAAGAAACAAATGTAAATATTCCAAAACATTATTTATTACACAAAAAACATTTGGGGATTTTCCCCAAAACCTTTTTTACAATAAAACTCTTGAAGTTTTGCCCAGCAAAGAAAACAAAATGGAATTGTTCATTCTAGTGTGCTAAAATGCAGTTAGTGAAGATTTGCATCCCTGCTTTCGATAATCAAAAGACCAAAGAACCTGTATTTATTTATTTATTTATTTCAGGTATTTTTACCCCGCCCTTCTCAACCCCCTAGGGGGGGACTCAGGGTGGCTTCCACCCGACACATATTTGATGCCTACGATTAAACACAATAAAATACACAACAAACAATAATTATAAATAAATAAAACATTTATTTATATATTTATTAATTTGCTATGCTTCTATACCGCCATTCTCAGCCCGAGGGCGACTCATGGCGGTTTACAAAACGGCACAATTCGATGCCCACAACAGTACAAAAATAATTTAAACATTTAAAACATTTAACACAGGTAAGAAATTTAGTTAATACAATAAAATCTGCTAGAAAAGAAGCCAGCCTGGTGGCCATCATTTCGCCGAGTCCTGTAATTAGTGATTCCATTCAGCTTATCATAATCCGTTTTCATAGCTCTTGTCGTCATTGTCCTTGCCAATCTGCTAGATTACCCAAAGGCCTGGTCCCATATCCATGTTTTTAATTGCCTTCTAAAAGAGAGGAGGGATGACGAATGTCTAATTTCCCTGGGCAGTGAATTCCACAGGCCGGGGGGGGGGGGTCACCACTGAGAAGGCCCTGTCCCTTGCCCTTGCCAGTCTTGTTTGTGACAAGGGCGGGGCCGAGAGCAGGGCCTTTCCAGAAGATCTTAAATTCCTAGATGGGATGTAGAAGGAGATACGTTCTGACAGGTACGCTGGGCCGGAGCTGTATAGGGTTGAAAGTGTTGGCAGTGTTAGCTGCTCTGAGTCCCCCCTCGGGGGTTGAGAAGGGCGGGGTAGAAATGTTGTAAATAAATAATAAATAAATTGAAAGATGAGGGAAAGTGGAATGATTGAGAGTAGTAAAGAAGGAAAACTTCATTTTGTTCCATATCAGAAAACAAGCATTTTTCTTCTCAATCGTTTTTTTTAGTGTGACCAATAGCTCACAGAAATGGCATGTCTTATCTTTTCAGTGTAAAATGCAAAGAAGGAAATGTGCATCACTATCTCAGATATTGCTGTGAAAACACACAAGTTACTTATTAGGCTTGGTTGATCAAGGAAAAAAAATTGGTTCTAAACTCGCTTCGTTTCTAGGGGGCGCCAGCATTTCGAATTTCAAAGGCCTTCCAAAATTTATGATTTCAAAATTTTGAAATTTTGTTAATTACAAATCGATTCGTTAATGGCGGACGCGATTGCGCAGGAGGAGGAGGAGGAGGATGGGGAGGAAAGGCAACCCTGGCACCTTTTCTCTCCTTCTTTCCCTCCTTCTTCTCCAGGAGGAGGAGGAGGATGGGGAAGAAGGGAGGAACAGTGTCCCTGGCTCCCTTCCTGTCTCCCCCCCCCCTTCCTTCTCTAAGAGGAGGAAGATCGGGAGGAACAGTGGCCCAGGTGCCGTTTCTTTCATTCTCCCCGGGCCACCTGAACCATTTCTCGCTTCCCCCCCCCTTCCTTCTCTAAGAGGAGGAAGATCGGGAGGAACAGTGGCCCAGGTGCCGTTTCTTTCATTCTCCCCGGGCCACCTGAACCATTTCTCGCTTCCCCCCCCCTTCCTTCTCTAAGAGGAGGAAGATCGGGAGGAACAGTGGCCCCGGTGCCATTTCTTTCATTCTCCCCGGGCCACCTGAGCCATTTCTCTCCTTCCCCTCTTGCTTCTCCAGGAGGAGGAGGAGGATGGGTAGGAAAGGCAACCCTGGCAGGGAAGCAGCAGAGCAAAGGTGGCCAGCAGGAGGGGGGAGAGAGAGGAAATTCATCGGCTTAAGCTACCGGGGAGGGAAGAGAAACTGCAAGATTGTAAAACTTGCACCAGACATACGAAAATTGGAAAAATTGTTTCAATTCTTAATTACTCCTCACACTATTCCTGCATGGCTCGATATTGGATCGTAAGCTAATTTAAATACGAATTCATAACGAGTTTAGAAACTAACAAACACGATCAGCCAAGCCTATTACTTATGCTTCCTTTTCTGACTTTTCACTGCAAAACCTGAAGCTGCCTGAGAGAAGTTAATAACACACTCAAGATGGGGTAGTTTAATTTTCCTGCTAGCGTACTTTATTGGAGCTCCAGCATTATAAGAAGTTTGAGATACACAGATTGTAACTGAAGTGACAGGGCATTTCTATTGGTGATGACATGGCTCTGCATACAAATATTTTTGAAAACCAAATGAGTACAGATCTCACTGACTCACTCCCTCTTTTCCTCTTTCTAGTACTGTGTGTGGACCGATGGTCTCAATGCCCTTCTGGGAAAGGATATGATGAGTGAACTCACACGCAATGACTTGGACACTCTGCTCAGTATGGAGATAAAGTTGCGTCTCCTGGACCTGGAGAATATACAGATCCCAGATGCTCCGCCACCAATTCCAAAGGAACCAAGCAACTATGACTTTGTATATGACTGTAACTAACATGGCTCTCTCAACTGAGACTTACACTTAAACTGGAAGTATTATAACTGGAGAGATTTTTTAAAAAGAAGAGAACAAGATATGCACATTGGATTTCATTTCAAGGGGGCTCTGAAATACTTATTTCCCCTTGCTTTCAACCCTACTGCCTGGCACCACCTCCCCCATTGTTAATGGGGAGACAACTGCTTTCATTCATGTCTTGCCATTGGGCTCCATCAGATTAAAACAAGCTCAACTTGGATGTTGCCCTTGGTGGAACTTCCTTGTTTTTAAAATGCTGGACTGCACATTCCAAGTAAAAGGACAGTGTGGCCAAAAGGCATGACCACCAAACCAAATCCAGCATTGCAGGTGCTTTAAATGGAAGAAAAGAAGTAAAGAACAAAAGCTACTGTAAATGGAGAGTGACCAAACATTCATATCCACCTCTCCCAAACTTTGAGTCGGTTTAAATAGCTGACCACAGTGAAAATGAAGACGATTGTTAACTGCTTTCAGCTTCTACACATTTCTTCTCATGGCCACTACCATCCTCTTCATTTACACAAGCATCTACACTCCACCACCATTTTCTGCTGTGTCCAGTAACTGCTTCTTAAAATAATAAGTTCACAAGTCTTTGCTGCAAACATGTCTAACCTCTGAAAGGGCAGATGTTACTATCTCCCCTAACTGATTTCCACACTTTTAATGACACCACTTGTTCTTTTTTTTCTCCCTGTTGTGTAATTACATATCACTAAAATTAGCAGGAGTATTTGTCCAAGGTGGAATTGATAATTGTGTGGAAAGCGGCATATGCCATTGGTTAATATAAAGTGTTCTGTGTTCAGGTTTTTTGTCCTCAAAATGTGGAGAGTTACTAATTTGCAAGGGATTTGGTTTTGTACAAAAGATTTTAATAATTCTTGCCAAATATGTATTTAATTAAAAATGCTATATTATTGTATGTACTTCTTTTTTTAAAGTTGTCTTTTCATTTCCATATAATGTCTGGAATATTTGCCCTGGCCGAGAAACATATGCACCAACATTGCCATCAACATTGCTGTGGAATAAAATTGGACTTGTGCTTATCCTTGGAAATGCTGTCTTTATTCTCTAAACCCTTGCAGGGTCTTTGCCATATTTTTGTTTTCACTCCTAAGGTGAAAAGGCAGTAGTTAGTTGTTTCTGGTGTGAGAGAATTGGCCGTCTGCAAGGACGTTGCCCAGGGGACGCCCGGATGATTTGATGTTTTTATCATCCTTGTGGGAGGCTTCTCTCATGGCCCCGCATGAGGAGCTGGAGCTGATAGAGGGACCTCATCCGCCTCTCCCTGGATTCGAACCTGTGACCTGTCGGTCTTCAGTCCTGCCACACCAGAAGCAACTTGCAGTTTCTCAAGACGTTCCTGACACGACCAAAAAAAAAAAGTAGTTAGTTGAGTGGATAGCCATTCTGCTTTTACAGCTAGGACAAAGGAAACACTTGTCAAAATTGTCTCTTTGACAATGAGATTGAGAATCCCTGAATTTGAAAGGAACTGTAACCTCATCCAGTCTTACACACCACAGAGATAAGCCTATATTTAGGTGACAATTCATAAACTACTAGTGCAGTGGTTCACAACCTATGTGTCCCCAGGTGTTTTGGCCTACAACTCCCAGAAATCCCAGCCAGTTTACCAACTGTTAGGATTTCTGGAAGTTGAAGGCCAAAACATCTGGGGACCCACAGGTTGAGAACCACTAATCTAGTGAGTGAAGGATTGCATTTCCCAGTAGTTTCACCAAAGATAATAAATGATAGCTTCAACAACACATGGCTGCATATTCCTGACATTTGACCCATTGTAAATCAGATTACAATTTTCTACAACTAAAACAGGTGCTACAAAATGCCGTGCTGAAAATGGCACATACCCAGTTTCTATGGTGTGTGTGTGTATACACACACACACACACACATACATACATACATACATACATACATACAGGGTGAGGCAGCATAACTTCCAGAGTGGCCGGCCCGCTCTCCAGATTTCTGATTTTTTTCTATGGGGTTTTTTGAAATCCTGTGTTTATGTGAACTGTCCAAGGACCCTACTGCCCTGTCAGTAAAAACATCAAAGGAATATACAGGGTGAGGAAGCATAACTTCCTTTTCTAAAATGCACGCCGTTCAGTCCGTTGAAGATGTAGCAGAGCACTAGTGGTCTCGTTCGAGAGGCGGGAGTATAAAGTTTTGTCCTGACACAGTTCAGTCGCCATCATGCGTTGGAACAGTGAGGAGCGTGCTTTTGCCATTGAGGCCTACTTTTCGAGCGGATTTGGAGAGGCCGGCCCGTTCTCCAGATTTGGCTATTTGTGATTTTTTTCTATGGGGTTTTTAGAAATCGCGTGTTTATGTGAACCCTCCAAGGACCCTACAAGATGTGAAGACCAACATCCAGGAAGAAATTGCCAACAGAATGCCTGCTATGCTGGCAAGAGTAAATGCAAACGCCAGAAATCGGTTTACTCAGGGTATGGAAAATGGAGAATAGAGGACTTCACCTACCTAGTTTGATCTTCAAAACTACGTAAAACAAAACTTTAGGTATGTGCCTACATTATAAAAAAAATTCTGATTCATACAATGGGTTTTATTAAGTTTTGAAAAGAGGAAGTTATGCTGCCTCATCCTGTATCTGGAACTGACTGTAATTCCTGTTGTCTCCAAGACTTCCTTTGTTACCCAAACCCAAAGCATAAGTTTTGCTGGCAGGCAGATTTTGCAACAGGTAGTCTACATCAAAAGAAGCTTTTTACCATGCTTAGTGGACATGTGATAAAGCAAAGGGGTTTTGGAGAGAAATTCGTGACAGGATTCAAAAAACCTTACAACTAAAGATAACAATGGAACCAAAATACTATTTTTTAGGAATGCTGGATATTGAGAAGGAGAAAAATAAAGAGATTTTGTTTAATTACTTGTTTTTCTCAGATAGGAAAGTTTATGCCAAATTGTGGAGATGTAAAGAGACAGCGATAATGGACCAATGAGCACAAAAAGTAATGGAAATAATGAATATGGATAAGTTGACCTAATTTTTGTAACAAAGTAACAATTACTTCCTAGCTTTGTACCTTTAGACATTTTTTCAAAAGTACAGAACTGGATCTGATAAAACTGTATCAATATCCAGTCTCTGTGTAAGTATTTATAACAATAGTATGTTATTAATAATTGTGAACAGAGCATGGCACAGATATTTCTCATAATATTAAAGGAAGAGAGCATTTAAAAAAATAGAATGTGATTTGTGTATAATTGCGAAGAAGTATGCCAACAAACGGGAAAGAAGTCAATGAAAAGCTGCATAGGTGATAAAGAACAGCTGGGATATCACATGCTTAACTGGAAAAAAGAAGAAGGAAAAAAGAATAATGTGATATTATGTGGTCATTATATTTTAACACACTAGAATGAGGGAAGGTAAGAGGAGTAATAAAAATGGAATATATATTATGAGCAACTGGAAAAAAAGGCATTCCATAAAAGCAAGCTTGGTCAATTGATTATGACAAGGTCAGGTTGAGTATGCTATAAGATGGGCCCACTAGGGCTACATGTCCCTCTGGGAAAACAATATTCGTCACATTAAATTCTGGTTATGGATGCAGCTACACCGTTGAATTAGTGAAGTTTGACAGCACTTTAACTGCTAAGGCTGAAGGTGTGGAATGCTGGGATTTGTAGTTTGGTGAGGCATCAAGACTCTTTGGCAGAGATGGCTAAAGACCTTATAAAACTACAACCCCCATTAGTCCATAACACTAAGCCCAGGAAATTAATGTGGTATCAAACTGCATTAAAACTACAATGTTGATGCACCCATGTTTTTCTGCTTCAGCACCATGTAAACTGGAAGGGCTTTTAGAAGGTTTAGAAAAGGGGGATCACTACTTATCATGATCTGTGAATATCTGTTAATATTTCGCATATACTAACTTGGAATGTGCACAAAATGTGGAAGCTTGGTGACTGTTTGCTGGGAATGCATCCAAACAAACAAACAAACTGCTTTGCTATAAACATGGCAAGGTTCTTGCATTCTTAAACAGAAGACTGTTTCGGAAAGCTCCATGTGGCATAGCTATTTGACAGTATAATTAGGAGAGTATATATGTGTATTTTTTTTAATTAGGTTGTAATCTTTTTTTCTTCTCTTTCCCCCATTTCCTTCCTCCCTCGGTTCCAGGTTGTGTTCCCCTAATCCTCAAAGCCCAAAATCCTTTTTTCTTTATGTAATAGAAAAAGTTATTAATAAAAAATTATTTTAAAAAAAGAAGCATTGCAGTCCTTAAGCTGATGGGTTCCTGCATCTTCCCTCCCTGCAGACTCTATATGATTAATTCTGCTGTTTCTACCCAGATTATTCCAGAACCAACACTCCTGATTTCCAAGTCTGGGTAACCAGTCCCCTGGGGTGAGATTTAACCTGTTCCCCAGCAAGAGCAATGGAAGATTGCTCCCCAAGGTCATACAGGCAGAACTAAGCAAAGGAGACAACTGTGCAAGCATAATTCACATCCTATCTTAATATCTATGAGAATTACACAAGCAATTTTGTGACTCCCACAGTCTATCTCCAGCTTTGCAGTGCCAGGCTGAAGCAAAACTGTCCAGCAGGGTCTACTGCATATACATTATTCTCTTCAGTGCCATTAGATAGTAGTAAACATTTGGCCATAGTACTGATTATTTATTTATCGTGTCAGGCAACCGAACAATTGTATTACATTTTTGACAGAACAAGCAAACAAACATACAAAAGACACAGAGTTTGCAAGCTTGGTAGTTGATTAAATGTCCTTTGACCAGTATCTGGCCACTTGGAGTGCTTCTGGTGTTGCTTCTGGTGTTGCTCCATTGTGCATGTAGAAGGACTCAGGTTGCATTGCAGCAACTGGTCTGTAGTTTGCTTTTCTCCACACTCGCATGTTGTGGATTCCACTTTGTAGCCCCATTTCTGAAGGTTGGCTCTGCATCTCGTGGTGCCAGAGCGCAGTCTGTTCAGCCTTCCAAGTCGCCCAGTCTTCTGTGTGCCCAGGGGGGAGTCTCTCATTTGGTATCAGCCATTGGTTGAGGTTCTGGGTTTGAGCCTGCCACTTTTGGACTCTCGCTTGCTGAGGTGTTCCAGCGAGTGTCTCTGTAGATCTTAGAAAACTATTTCTTCATTTAAGTCGTTGACGTGCTGGCTGATACCCAAACAGGGGATGAGCTGGAGATGTCTCTGCCTTGGTCCTTTCACTATTGGCTGCTACTTCCCGGCAAATGTCAGGTGGTGCAATACCAGCTAAGCAGTGTAATTTCTCCAGTGGTGTAGGGCGCAGACACCCCCTGATAATGCGGCATGTCTCATTAAGAGCCACATCCACTGTTTTAGCGTGGTGAGATGTGTTCCACACGGGGCATGCATACTCAGCAGCAGAGTAGCATAGCGCAAGGGCAGATGTCTTCACTGTGTCTGGTTGTGATCCCCAGGTTGTGCCAGTCAGCTTTCGTATGATATTGTTTCTAGCACCCACTTTTTGCTTGATATTCAGGCAGTGCTTCTTGTAGGTCAGGGCACGGTCCAGAGTGACTCCCAGGTATTTGGGTGCGCTGCAATGCTCCAGTGGGATTCCTTCCCAGGTGCTCCTCAGAGCTTGGGATGCTTGTCTGTTCTTGAGATGAAAAGCACATGTCTGTGTTTTAGATGGATTGGGGATCAGCTGGTTTTCCCTGTAATAGGCAGTAAGAGCACCTAGAGCTTCGGAGAGCTTCTGTTCAACCATCTCAAAGCTCCCTGCTTGAGCAGTAATGGCATGATCATCAGCATAGATGAAGCTCTCTGTCCCTTCTGGCAGTGGCTGGTCGTTTGTGTAGATGTTGAATATGGATGGGGCAAGCACGCTTCCCTGAGGCAGGCCGTTCTTCTGATTCCGCCATCTGTTTCTCTGGCTCTGGAACTCAACAAAAAAGCTCCTGTTTTGTAGCAGGTTTTCTATGAGGCGGATGAGGTGGTAGTCCTTTGTGATATTATACATTTTTCTCAGGAGGAGGTGGT